AAAGCGCGAAAACATGAATAAAATTGCCTAATTTCTGTAAAAGGTGTCAACACAAGTCATGAATGGACTTGCTATTTTGTGTCGCTTTTGTTGTAAACAGGCCTGTAAGACCGTTTCGATATCGTTCGAGCGTTTCAGTTTGAAATGACACATTCGCAGTCCTTGTCAGCCGTTCTTCAGCCGAAATTTGCTACTGAAAGTTGTTTGTGTAACAAAAATTCCTTTTGCTATTTTCGCAGCGGCTTTGTATCAACACTCACTCTGCGTATTAAAACTTAACTTGCCACGTGGCAAATAACTGAGTGAACTGAATTAGTAATTTTATCGGCAGATAATTACCATTTCTTCTTTTGTTCAACGATTTTACTTTGCCGTGAAACAGATACCAGATTATGTACTTAACCTTTAATTTCGGTGTCTAAACTGTTATTTTCTTTTGTTTACCTATAGCTGTGATGAACACTCGCTAGTAATTATAGCATTTCAGGTTACTCCGCATTTGTTTTACTCCGTCTTGTTTCTCCCGCTCTCTTTATTGACCTGTGACAATGCACAAAAGAAACAAACAGTTTTAAAATAGTAGAGATTAACTTATACCTTTTTTAGATTTATATAAACACGTTTTCATTCACTGGCGCCAACGGAGACCTTATTTGCATAAAACAGCAAAAAGAGAGCAACTTTTACAATATCGACTCGATTCCGTCGACTCAAAACTCACTGTCTCAGCTATAATGTAACAGTACTAAGGGAGTAAGGTTTTGTCGTTCTAGCGTGGTCACTAGTCGATTTTAGTGAGTTTGTGGGGCTTCAATTACATTGACTTACTAAAATCGACTAGTGACCACTCTTGAACGATAAACCTTTATTTCCGTTCCTAATTAAAGCCCCACAATGGGCCGTAAATTAGGACGAGATTCGCATGGCATGATCTTGTTGAGCAGCAGATTTTGAAAATTGGCCGGTTTTAGACTCGACCTAAACGCGCTTTAAAGTGAGAAAGAAAAAAGAGAGAAATAGGTCGATTGACGATGGCAGTAAAATGTACTGAG